CTACTGCTACTTCCATCTTCCTTCCCAGAACTCTCTCTTCTGCTTTAAAACTACTACCTGAGGTGCAGCCTCCTCTAATAATCCTCAAGAAGCTTTCCATCACAAGGCTGAAAGTGCTTCCCACTTAGACAAAACTAAATGATTCCATTTTAAAGCCTACTCTTTTCAAAGAGATCTCTTCTTTTTGGCTTGAGGACTTATTTCAGACATTCCTACGGCTTGTCTATAGAAAAAACACAGTAAAATAAAACACTCTTCATGTAGTTAGATATATAGAAACATTTTTGTTTTGTCAGTTATGGTGTCTTTTCCATTTGTACTGAAAGTAAGTTTAGATTGGCAGCAAAAAGGTACTTAGCACCCAGAAAGAACATTCACACTTAACTAGTTCACTTCAAATTTCCACCAACAAAATTATTTCACATGAACTCCCCACACTGACACTCACTCATTCATACCCCTAAGAACCCTTAACCTGATGAGGCCACGGAAAATTCACAAATGCTTTCTCACACCTTCTTCTCCATACCATGCTCCCCAGCCTTCCATATGTGCCTTCAGTTGCATTACTGAAGTTCAGGGCAGTTCTTGGTGACACGTGCACAGCCTAACAGCAAAACCACACTTGGCATCCAAAAAGAAGTTCCACACATCAATTAGTACACTTCGAATTTCCACCAATTTCTTTGCTCAGCAGCAAACCCTTCACGTAGACACATCCATACTCTTACAAGGACCTGTTCACCTACACCAAGCTTACTCCTACAGGGAATTCTTCTGTAATTGAGGACTGAGGACATGCCCTCAGGAAGCAACAGAGGTTGCCACTGGGGAGGCACACGAAGGCTACCCAGAGTTAGCAGGGAGGGTCACAAAACATTCAAGCTCACTTGGGAAGTGGAGCACAAGTCAAAGTTGTTCGTAAATCACAGCCTTACAGTTGCATTCATTAATAAATAACTGGTGAATTTTCTACCTCTGGTCCAGTCTCCTCATGCCTTTCTTGTATGTCTTCTTTCTTTAGCTAACCTTATCACTTCTGCAATACTTGTGAAAACATACCCTGCCCTCTCCTACCATATAGCAAACAACAGTTTCAGTAATCCCACAGGAATTTTCAAGTCATTAGGTGTCCTTCTAACTCATTATTGGATAAACTTCTTTGAAAAACTAACATGAGTGAAATTAAAAGGTGCATTTCTGTTCGTGCTATAAGACCAAGTAATTTCAAAAGTAATTCCTTGTAAAGATGCCGTATTTGGCAAAAGAACTCCCTTTCAATAACCATCAATATACTCAGGGCCACTCTCTCACACTAGACTAGAAAGCACTCAAGAGTGACAAGACATCTGCCTAATAAGCTCTCCTAAACTCTGAGCCTGTTACTGTCTTCTCTGGTTAAGTGGAAAATGGCTTGTATGAAGTTTAGAAAGCTGCATCTCAAGCAGTTCACAGTAGAGCTCAGTGGAGCACACCCTAGCCTCCAATATCATTCTTTTCCTTCCACACTTGACACAAGGGCTGATGAAAAATCATCTGCATAGGCTTCAGTAATGAAGAGATCAGAAGAGCTACCCTTTGCTGGGGTTAAAAAAATGTATCTCTTATCACTCAGTGGTTCCCAAGTGTGGACAATAATGTACTGAATTTCTCCATCCTGACCCAGGGTTTCCTTTGTCTTCATCTCCCAGACGCACTTCATCACAGAGTAGGTGTAATGGGAAGGTATCCCGTTTTCCCAATCACAAGCAGGTGACATCCTTCATTTCTGAATCACCATGAGACCACTGTTAAGTGGTTCCTTACCAAACTATGTCCATCTCTTGCCTGTAGCCAGGAGTGAGTACTTCACACTTGAAACTTCATACAGACAGCTGTACTTCATACACATAGCTGCCTCTATCTTCAGACAGGCAGACTGTTCTTTTGGCTTCCATTCAAGTGCTTACTGGTGCTTTAGTTAATAATTCTTCTCTTCAAAGGCGGCAGAACATGGAACTCTCCTCCATCCCAGAGACTCCCATCCTTACATTCCTGTGTTGTACAGGTGAGGTTCCCAAAGCCATCCCAGTGTCACTGAGTGGATTCACATTTGTAAGCAGTTTTTCTCTTCTTATTCTTCTACTTAGATATTCACACCCCATTGCCCAACGCTTGTGGACCAATCACTTTTAGCAGGATTTATACTCCTTAACTATAGTAGGGAAGCTCTTAATCAGTACTTAGGATACCTAAACTGTTCTTCACATTCAAGGTTCTTCCAATAACTCTTAAAATCCCTTTGTCTCTCAAGGGATTGTTAGTACTGAACCAAAAAAATGCAAATCGCTTTGCCTTCATCCTAACCAGATAGTCGCTCAGGCTACAGCATGTGCTCTGCACATTAGTAGCAGTTAAGCTATAAAAAATGGACTACTATCTGTGTCATGTGAGATGTATTCACATTTTCAGAAGTTAACTGAACACTAACAGACAGTTTGCTACAGGTCTTCATTCCAATCCTTCCAATTCTTGAAGCATCTTACCAGTTCCATCATCTGCATCATTCTGACCAGTCTCCCAAATCTCTGATTTTGTCCCAAAGCCATCAGTGGCAGACGACTCCATATAGTCTGCAGGGTTAAATGTCCTAGAGTTTTAAAAGTTAAGAAATGGAAGAGAACACATGGGTCATTCAATGAACACAAGTGTCATCATTTTTAGCTGAAGTTGTATTAGATTTAACATCTCAATTTCCACATAATTTATCTTGATAGTTTTGATTTCAAAAGGAATTTTTCCTCCATGAGCAGACACAGATAAAAAAGGGGAGAAAAAAGAAGAGGAGAAGAAAGTGAGGAGACTGGAAAAAAAAAATTTACTGTAGAGAAACTGAACCAAAACAACAATTCCTGATAGAGTGGTTAAGAGCATACCTACTCCTCCCAGCCTTATAAAGCATTAGTTTATATGCACAACGATAAGCTCCTCTCAGCTGACAGTTTCTCAGCTGACTGATGAGAAACCAGTATCATGTCCTTTCAGAGCACAAGACCTGCGCTGGACAGGAGTCAGAACATTGGTAAGATTACTTCAGAATGCACTCCTGACACCAATGCCAAAACACACAGATGCAGTTAAAAGGTGAAAAAGGATCATTGAAGAAAAACCTCTCTTCAGTTTATCATCTGCAAGTATGAACAAGAAGGATTATTGGAGAAGTAGAATGAGCCTTCTGTTCATCATGACATCACTAATACTACATGAAAACGTCATTAAAGGAAAACACTGAGTGCAAGTAGTCGTGGAAGCTACACTTCTATGAAGCAAGTTACTCCAACAAAACTGAGAACAAACTTTAGAGCTTCCAAGTAACTTCTTGTGATTCCGTTTTAGGGTCCACGTATGTCCAAACAGCTAAAGCATGAAACCTCAAAACCAAGAAAGTTTATAACTGCTAGACTTTCTGGTTTTATATAAACTTGCACATTCTACATTACACTCTATTTTTGAGTTGACCTAGGACTATCCGCATCACACAGAACTTTCAGCCTCCAAGGCACTATGTGGCTGCTACTAACAGGAACAAATGGGTTCTCCAAGTTTGAGATATTAACATTGAGTGAACATACATTAGGAGTGTCTACTTAGAAATACTGGTCTAAGACAAAAATAATCCATTAATCATCTAACAGATTTGTGAATTTTTACATCCATATTTGTTCACCAAACATACAGCAATATTAATACATACAGCGGCAATATTGTCAATTAATATTGCCACTGAGTTTGATCCTTGCCAAAATCTGTGCTCTGCATGTTTCTTACCCCATGCCTTGGGCTGAAAACCTCCCCGCTCCTCTCCCTCTGCCACGTCCAAACCCTAGGAGAGAAAATACCATTTAACAGCAACAGCAGAGGAGCCGCCAATCACTAGTCTGTCACATTAGAAAATACTATGGTTGAAGAAGAAAACTACTGTAGTTAAGTATCATTTACTTCCCAAATTTCCTCACAGGAGAATTTGTTTCCCTAACACACACAAGTAACCCACAGTTCATCTAAGACTATGCATTTCAGTAGGACTTGCAATTCTTTGCTCTCTTTTCTGTATCTAGTGAAGTAGCTCCAAATGTCAAGAAAAGGACTTACCTAAAGACCCATCTCACATGAGACTGCTATGGCCAAATCACTAGATATTGTTCAAAATTTTGTCTCTACTTTCTCCCTCTTGCCTTAGATGCTCTAGAACCTCAGCTTCCCTGTGTACCCTGATCTCTCAAGAAATTTCCTGTCACTCCTTGTCCGTGAGGTGAAAGTTTAAATACTCCATTTGTTTCCTTCTCTATCCACCTCTATCTTGTTGGGCTTTTGCTAACCTGCTACCACTCATTCCTTCTGCTTACCCCTTAATCATAGTTACTGACATGAGAACTAACCAATTCAAATTGCTCAAACAACTTCCCTGTTATCACCCAGAATAATATTCATTTCTAGTTTAACAAAACCAAATATTTATTGCCTCCAATCTTGGTTACCAGCCTCAGTTTACAAGCTTCTTGATATAGTGAATGGCTTTATTTTTGCATGTTGCATGGCGCCAACAAGGCATGAAAATTTCTGTACTGCTTAACCATCCATAAAGCACATCTCTACATAAACTGTTAGAAACTATTTTTACATGCAGCTTACTTCTGCATAGACTTTTTTCCCCCTTTTTTAGGACCTCAATATCCGAGGCTTTTCCAGTTTGTTGTGTTTTTTGAGGAAGACTAGGAATATTATTTTGTATTACAAGAACAGAAGGAGGTCAAGAGCTGCAGACTTGAGAACAAAACGACGTTTATTTTAACAACAAAATTATGTGGTAATTATAAGTCACCAAGTAACTACAAGTTTACCAGAGCGCAAAAGTTATAATCCTACGTCATCAATACACTGGTTGCCCAAACATCAGAATTACCCATGATAGGCTGTTTGAATTTGGATCAAAAATACCCCTTATTTTAGGGTGACCACCTAAACTATGTGAGAGCAGTAGCTCCAGGACACGGCAAAACCAGTTTAGGAAGTTCCTATTTTAATGACTGTCCTTTCCCTCTCCTCACCACTCATTATTTCCCTTGCCCTAAGTTCACTGTCCAAGTGTTAAAAGACATTCCCGGACCTCTAAAATATCTACTACCTACATCCTCAAGGACATCCTAGAAGCATCAAAACATCAGGACAGCTTTATGCATATTTTGATGAAAGACTTTATCCATATCCTATACAAGATGGCAACTGCTAGCTACAGAGCAACCATGGAAACCTGCAGAGGAAGGATTCCCATCCAGCAACAGACAGTATTTTGGTGGGACAAGAACACAGAAGAACTTAAGTCTGACATGAGGTCAGGCCTGCTATCTCTACATTTTTCCCTCTTTCCTCTCTTTTCACAATCAGTTGGAGAGGACAGAGGTCCGGAAAGAGGTAACAGCTGCAACCTGGCAATCGCCATCCCTCTTCACCCAGACCACACGTGAAGCTGTGCTCTTTGCTCTGCCATAAAGACAACAGTGCCCCAGCCCCCGCCGTACCAACCTGTTGTAACTCAGCCTCTGAACCTCCTTGCTCAGCCTACCTATTCTACTGCTTCCCTCCCCTTCACCTACCTGAAATCCCCAATCTGGGAAGCTGATCCATGGCATAACGAGGTCACAGCTCTCAGATGCACAGAGATCTGTGCACTCCAGATTATCTTTCTGCCCTTTTTTTTTTTTTTTTTTAAAAAAGTAGAACCAGCTAAACATGTTTACCTGGGGACACTGTAGGCGCCATCTATGCAACAAATACACTCTCTACAGCTATCAATACAGCATTAAACACCCTTTACTAATGACGCACAGAAGAGACATCAACAGTTTTTTGACAAGCTCAGCTACAAGACCGACTGGGAGCTGCGAATCACAGAAACAGTCAAGCAGAAATATTTCCAAGCAAGGCAGAGAGATTAGCTGGAATAGCTAGTACGAAAGTATAAATATATTTTAGAAGAGGAGGTAAGTCTCCCCAGCCTCCCAAGTGCAGAAGCCTGAAAGAATAACTTTAGCATATTAAACAGAAGATGAAGTTTTAGCAGGTGAGGCATATGTAAGATGCCATACCAGCACGGGCACAATAAACTACTGGCTAAAAACAGCAGTAAGAATCTCTAACAATTTTAGAAATTGCTGAAAGAAATCATGTTGTTCTTGAAGTTCCATGCACAGTCGTAAGACCACTAGCCAGAAAGGTGGTTTGTTTTTTTTTTTTACACCAGATCACTTAGAAAGTTAATCCTGAACTTCGGTTTCAAGTGGACTCCCTTAACTTCATAAAGCTGTGTCTATGCTCTCTGTCAAAACTGAAATTAAATGAAGTGTAACCAACAAATGCAACAAAAAGCATTCTAATGAAGCCAAAAGGAAAGTACCAAACCAGTGGGGTTACCGAAAGCACTAAATCCAAAGCTAGAAAAGACATTTTCAAAGAACTAATTCAAAACATTAGTTTGGACACTGTGACAGTGAGTACTCACCACTAAAAGACCACTCTAACTCAGACACAGAATCTCGTACATCATAGTCATTAATGCCAGATGCCAGTGGGAAGGGCTGATATTCTCTCTGACACAACCAGGCCACTAATATAGTCTTAAACTCTTATGTTAAGAAAGTTACTGCTCTCAGCTGCCAAAATTAAAACACGTCCTTAAAACTATTAGAAGGCACAGTCTTCTAACACAGAGAAGTTAGTCATAAAGCAACTATGAACACCCATCACATATCTGCAAACTTTTCGCGCTTTTTAACAGTGACTAAAAGGTCAGTGAGCAAATGGGGCTTCACACCGCAACTCAGAACTGGGACCCAAATTCTGACCATGCAATCCCACAGTAACTTAAACCCGTTTAAATGAGAACTACTACAACTGAGGTCTTCCTCACCAGTGATCACAAGCTCTGCTCTTTCCTGCACTGACAGTTTTGCATGTACCAGTGAGAGAGCACAAAACCACAAAACAAAATTATTATTTCACTTTTAGATCAGCTCTCCAAACCAGTTCCCTGCTTGATAAATGCCAGAAAACTAGTCACGTTTACACCAGGATAAGGCATCAAAAATACCCATTGTCCCCAGCTACCATGCCGCCTTCCCCTTTTTTACTTCTTTGGCTTGGTTAGCTTTAAAAACTTAGATCAATCCTCCGATACAGTTCAAATGCACCAAGATAGACAGTACCAATTCCTGCCAGCAGCAGTGCCAGTTAATGTTTGTAACAAAAAAAGTATAGCTTTAACATCGCTCTAAAAAGACATGTATATATTGTTTAGATCAGAATGGCAAATGGTTACAAACAAATTTTTTTTTCCTGTGGTAATTCACAATCAGCAATTCTATCAACATTTTTATCTACCCATAAAAAGAGAATAAGTGACTTGGCAGTAGCTCATTAAATCTGCTGAGTCTAAAGGAGCAGATTTTCTTACAATCAATCAGTGTGCGGAGCACAAAGCAAATGATGGACATCAGGCAAAACAAAACTACTGCTCTGCCTCGTACGAACCCTCATAACATTTCTTCACATTCCTTTACACTTTGATCTACAAACAATCACCTAAACTATCAAGGCAGCATTGCTCACTCATTTCTGTTCCAGGAAAGCAGAACTGAGGAA